GGGCAGAGTTATGATAACTGCTTAGCCACAGCCAAACACCTTGAGGGAGTGAGTCGCTGGGCCTGCAAGCTCAGGACTGTGGTCGTGGGGGACATGAAGCTCAATTGCACAAAAGCATTGTTTTATATCCTACTTTGGTGAGTAGCGACTGGGGTTTTAAAAGCTTGTGAGTGGCCATCTAAGATGCAACTATTGGTCTCTCTTCATCTGGAGCAAAGAAGAGCAAAGACAATCAAAGACACATGGAAACAATTAATGCACAGGAGTAGTAGACCATGGGAACCTCAGCCTCCATGACTCTGAGACCAGATGAACTAGATGGTGCCCGGCCAATGCCAACCACTTGGAAAGGGATCAAAATAGGAAATCCTGAATAGAGTGGGAAGAAAATGTGGAATAAAACTCAAAATCATTAAAAACAAAACAAAGCAAAAAAAAAAAAAAAAGAGGCTTGTTGGTCTGATAGAGACTAGTGAAACTCCTGAGACTATGGCCCCTAGTCACCCTTTGGGCCTGGAATTGAACTTACTCCAGTGGCTGAACCTTCAGCCAAATAGTAGACACAAATAAAAGGTAAGCAGTTACACCAGGGAAGTACACACCACCGGGAATCAGAAGGGCAGCATTTGCACAGGGAGAAAGCTCAGAAGGTAGAAATACATAAGCTAGAAGGACACAGGAAACTGTCACATTGTGTCACATTTTGGGGGCTGTAATCAGATCACTAAACAAAATAAACTGTTGAATGGAAAACGAATTTGTTCTATAAACTTTCACCCAAATCACAATAAAAAGTTAAAAAAAAAAAAAAAAAGCAATAGAAAAGTGTTAAGACCGCATCCTGTCGAAGGTGGAAAACTTGCAAGACCCGCAAAAACAAAACAGTCCTGTTGAGTTCTGGCTCTCACAGGTCTCACTATATTGGGAATATTATAAAAATATATTGTTGTTGTTACTAACTTCTGCAATCTGAAATTGACCAAACATGCAATCAAGATGTGCTGATTATCACTGGTAACTGGAATGCAAAAGTTGGAAACAAAGAAGAATCACTGGTAGTTGGAAAATTTGGCCTTGGAGATAGAAATAATGCTGGAGATCACATGATAGAATTTTGCAAGACCAATGGCTTATTCATTGCAAATACCTTTTTTCAACAACACAAACGGTGGCT